AAGGGAATGACTAGGACTTTGTGATGGGTACCATGTCACTAGGAGAGAGGAATTTCCATTGTCAGTTCTCTATGTAGCCTGTCACTGATCAAAGTGTCTTTATGTAGCACATGACTAAATATATAAAACACTCAGAACATTTCCCCCTAAGTAACTCAATGAATATTAGCTGTTTCTGTTCTGTCAGTATTATCGCCATTGTCCAGAACATTTATTTAGTTTTATCATACATTTCTTTAACATTAGCAAAATGTTGACCAGGTCTGGGGATATAGCTCAGCTGGTAGAATTCTCTCCTTGTATGCATGAGGCTGAGTTTGATCCTCAGCAAAAAGAAAAAAAAAAAAAAAGGAAATATTTATCCAAAAAAGAAAAAAAATCTGTATGTTTGTCCCTAAAAATTGAATGTGAAGTAGAAGCAAATATTAGAAAACTCATATTAGCTCAGATTTACCTCTAAATTGAATTTCATTTTATTCTAAACTTTTCTATATTTCCTATATTAACATTTTAATAATGAAAAAAGTATAATGGTATAATTTATCATTATATATTCATTGTCTCATTTACTCAGTAATAAGTATGTGAGAAGATATTTGTTTAATTTTTATTATTCTTTCTCATACCTTATTTTAATGGTTCTCAACCTGTGGGTCTTGACTGCTTTGTTGTCATATACCTATCAAATATTTACATTACAATACATAACAGTCACACAAATGAGCTGTATTTAAAGGTTGTAGCATTAAGAAGGCTGAGAACCACTGCCTTATTTGGTCTTTACAACCATTATATGGGGGAAAAAGAACTAATTGTATACTGTTTTGCAAGTGAAGAAGTTTAGTTTGAAAGGTAAGCAACTACCTAGTGATAAAAATCAAAGGTTTAGCCAGCCAATCCTTCCTAGAGCCTTACCCTCAAGGAGGTAGATATGTCTATATTTCTACAACATTTAGAATTTCTTATAATCAAAATTTCAATCCCTTCACTTCTTAGAAATTAAGGAAAAAAATTTAAAGACATTCAGTCAAGGATTGCATTAAGGACTGACTGTGAAATGATAAGCCTGTGCTTCATCGGTTCCTGCTTTCCTGGCAGGACATAGAGCATGATTGGGCAATTAAAACAGAATAGGAAATGTGGTGCAGGTCAGTGAGCAGAAGCCCATATAACGAAGCGGCTTCTAAGGAGGTGACATTAGGTTGGGATCTTAGAGGACTGAGATATGGGAGAGAGAAGAATGATGTAGGGACCTGGAATGTCAGGGGATTAGAGACTGGGGAGGAGCTGCTCTGAGATCAGCTGGAAAGGCAATGTTTGGCTTGCAATATTTTTAAAGCAGTAGTAAAGATTTGGATTTTGTTTTTGAAGCAAGGACTTTAAGGAGGGAAAACTTTATGATTAATTAGATTTATAATTTTAAGAAATCATGGAGGATCAGTTGTAATGAGCATGGAGGAAGAGACAGCTAGATAGTATAATAGTGAAAGATAGTTTCTCTAGTGTGTTAAGCAAGATGTCTTATATTGGAGGAAGGCCGCTAATTAGTTCTTGGCTGCTTAGCCCCGAAATAATCACACAGTAACTGTATTAATTAAATCACTGCTTGGCCAATTCCTTAAGTGTAGGGATAAGCCCTCCCCTTGGGGGCGGGCTGCCCTCGGGCGTATGTTTACTGATATATTGGGCGGGCAGAGGCTGTGCGCCCCTTCCCTTCCTCTCCTGTCTCCGCCGGCTACTCCGCTGGAACCTTGGTTTCGTGAGTCTGGTTTTGTTATTAAACTTGTTCAAATACTTATTACCTTTGGTGATTATTAATCGGACCGCTGCACTTAAGCCTATTGCTAGCCAGCTCTTACATCAAGAATTAACCCATCTCCATTATTTTATATTTTACCACAAGGCTCATGGCCTACTGGCAAGGTTTCAGCATGTCTGTCTTTGGCAGCAGCTCCTTGGCTTTTCCTTGACGCCACCCTTCTTTCTCCCAGCATTCAGTTTAGTTTTCCCCACCTACCTAAATTCTGCCCTATCAACAGGCCAAGGCAGTTTCTTTATTCACCAATGGTATTCACAGCATACATAGGGGAATCCCACATCAATCTTAGATACGTGTTTTAAGTATTGTGAAAGAACTCAGGAAACAGGCATATACAGACTTCAGCATCAAAGATTATGAAGACATTGTGATTTGGAGCCATCTTCAGGCCCAAACTGATAATCAGTAGTAAATAAATTATAATAAACAGACTAATCTGAAGTGTTTTATGAGGCGTATCCCGACAGCAGAGGCTCACACTAGGTGCCACACCTAATCGTTTAAGCAGAGGAATCTCTCCATCTGTTAGCAGAAAATTCTCAAATATGAAATAAGATGTTTCACTTGAAATGAAGATTATTTTAGCTTGAGTATGGATGGTGTACATCTGCATTCTAAGAATTGAAGAGACTTTCAGACATGATGGTGCATGCCTGTAATCCCAGCACTCAGGGGGCTGAAAGAGGAAGATTGGGAGTTCAAGACTAACTTGAGCCCTCTAATAAGACCTTCTCTCAGAGAAAACAGAATTCTTTACTTACTCTTTATATTATATTTTTGAGGCAGGGTCTCACTATGTAACTCTGGCTGGCCTGAAACTCTGTAAAACAGGCTGGTCTTGAACTCAAAGGGATCCACCTGCCTCTGCCTCCTGCATACAGGGATTAAAGATGTGCACCACACATCTGTCAGAAAAAAAGGATTTAAGATAGAAATAAGAAATAAATAAAATAAGAAAAATGTACTATATGAATGTCCTCTCTGCTGGTCATATTTTTACATGTGTGTAGCTTTTTATATGAGTTTGTTCTTCTTAATGTATAATGAAATGATAATATTAATTTCTTGAACTAACTAGAACTTAATAAAAATCTAAGTAAACTAGTTTCTCTATTAGACAATCTAGGATTTGCAAAAACTAATGGTTTTACATTTTATAAGGAGATATAAACCACAAATCATTATTTTAGTATAGAAGAAATAAGAATTTTTGAAAGCTTAAAAATTTATTATACTCATGCTTATTTTAGAAAATTTAGAAAGGTCTAACTAATCAAAAATACTGCCACCTAAATAACTCAGTATTTCAATATATGTAGATTTTAAATTTTTGTAAAGAGAATTTCCTAAATGGAGACTATAGTTCCTTTTTGGAATGATTGTTTTATTTAATAAAATGTAAGCATTTTCTCTGCCACAGATGTCTTTATTTAACAGTTTAGACCTTTTCTGTGCATTGAGCACAGCTCCCTCCCATTAGTTTTCACAAAGTGTGCTTCTCAGGTGAGGAAGGCTGGTGGCTGAGTGCTCAGATGCCCTCTTGGCTTCCCTCACCCATTTCATAAGCCATCTCAGCTCTTACAGTAAGTACTCAATGTGCGCAGTGTGTACATTAATTCTCTTGGCAGAAATCTTGTCCTTAATTTGCTTGTTTACAACATCGCCAACAACATGCTGGGTGGTGTGTTGAATCTTCTAGTTCTGCCTGAGGCATTCCTTTTTGAATTCCCCCTTGATATCTATAGCACCCTTTTTGTTAACTTGCATGACTATGCCCAAAGGAACAACTCTTTGTTTCCTAAAAAGCCTAAAAGCAGGTGCCTTTCCTCTTTCCCTTTGTGTTTGTCATTTTGGCTGCCTTTGCCAAAAGCTAATTTCTATTACTTCTGACCATTTTATTTTTGTATGGAAGTATAGTAATCACTCCTAGATACATTGTAATTTATTTAACCATTCCTCTGCTGTAATGAACATTTTATGGTATTTTTTTTGCAAATTTTTCTGGTAATGTCCTTAGGACAAATTAGTAAAAATGAGGAGCTGTTAGTGTGTGTCGTTTATAGAGTGTGTGGGTACCAGCTATAAATGTGTATCGCTTACCAGTTTTTGAAAAGCTTCATTAAGAATTTATTTGGCTGTATGTAAGTTCATTCTTTTATTAAAGCCCCTTCTTATCAGTTTTTCTAAATCTTTAACATGTTTAATTAGAAAAATATTTCAAAGGTCTGGAAAAGAACGACAGTAGCATAAGACCTTTGTTTCTATATCTCTCATTCCATCTGAGTTCAGTTGCCCTAATCCTAAAGTTCAAACTTTAGGGTTCCATTAATTTTGGGTTTTCAGACTCTTGGTCTTTACTTTAACTGTTTGTTTCAATTCTTGCTTTTTGTTGCTGCTGCTGCTGCTGATCCCTGGCCTTGGGCGTGAGCTGAGTTACCCTATCCGTGTGTGTGTGTGTGTGTGTGTGTGTGTGTGTGTGTGTGTGTGTGTGTTGAGGCTAGATCTTATTATGATGTAACCCAGGCCGGCATTGATCTCTTATCATTCCTCCTGCCTCCGCCTCTTGAGTTCTGGGATTCTAGTTTTGAACCACTGTGCCTGGTCATGTTTTGGATCTGGCATTCTTGACAGCTAGTTTTAGTGTGTGTTAGAGAGGTTGTCTCCCAGGCTGAGCTTATTCTTACTACCCCATTCCTCCAGCCTTACCTTCCCAGTGTTGGGATTATAGGTGTGCACTGTCATGTTGTTTGGATGTGAATAGCCCCCATAAGATCACATATTTGCATGGTTGGTCCCCAGTTGATGGACTGTTTGGGAGGGATTGGGAGGCGCTGTGTAACTGGACTTTGAGGTTTTGGGTGGCCAAGCCAGGCAGGTGAGGATGTGCTCCCTTCCACGGTGATAATGGACTGACCGTTGAGACTAGAAGCCAGCCCCAGTTAAATGCTTTTCCTTGGCCATGGTGTCTCTTCACAGCAATAGAACAGTGACTACGACACCATCACATCCAGTTAGTCTTTTTCTACTTACTTGGGGGGAGGGGAATGTGTGTAAGGAGAGGACAGCTCAAGAGTCAGTTCATCCTTTGATCCTAAGGGTTCTGGAGAGGAAACTGAGGCTGTTAGGCCTGCACCTCTAACCACACACTCCAACCCCCCCCCCACAGTCATCTCACCCCCCCCCCCCCCCCCGTAGTCTTTTTTTTAGAATAAATTGTTTTTGATAGAGTCCAAGAATTCTATTGTTTTTTTAAACAAACTTTTCCCTTTTAATGACTTATTTTTATTTTTTCTGTTCATTGTTATGTCTGTGTGAGGGTGTCAGAACCCCTGAAACTGGATTTATAGACAGTCGTGTACTACCATGTGGGTGAGTAGACAGGAGTCCATGAGCAGATCCCAGAGTTGTGTAGGTGAGGAGGAGCAATCAGCTGGGTAGAAGGGCTCTCCCTGGGGGAGTGCTTCCGGGAGAGGGTGGGATCTATGGTTCACAAAGATTTCTAATGGCCAAGTAAACTAGGAACTCAAAGATGACCGCTGACTTTAATAGGAACTAATTCTTGACCTCAATGTAGCTTTGGAAGCATAAATGGATAAAGTTGGTGTGAGTTTCATGAGAGACAGATTTGGAAAGCCAAAGCAAACATGCAGAAAAAATTATGTTGCAAATAGAAAAATCAAGGCGGAAGTAATGATGAGAACAGTTGTGTTAATTTGAGAGAATTCATTCCTTGAGTGCTAACAGGCATGATTCAGTAGAGGAAATGTGATGTTCTAGGGGGAGAAGATTACAGTATCCCAGAGTATATGGAATATGAAATCCACACAGTGGGGGATGAATAAATCGAGATAATTTATATCTTTGGCATGGAATAGCTATTTTTTTATGGTGAGACATTTAAATTTTACCTCACTATTTTGGAACATAAAATATTTTTTTTACTCCAGATATGCTACTGTACAGTAGATCTCAAAATGTACTTCTCCTGTCTGACATGTACCCTTTGACCAACATTCTACTTTCTCCTCCTGTGCTGCAGAAATATGATCACACATAAGTATATATATTTGTCTTTCCTTATTCTAGGTTCGTTTGCTCTATGACAAATGGGCTGTGATGTTTTCTCATCCTGTCACATTTTCTTTGTCTGTTCACCCATGATCAACCCTTCTGTTGGTTTCATATTTTGGCTATTGTGATCATGGAATGCATGATGCAGAAATCCCATGACAACGTCTGTTTCTTTGGATGCATAAGGATATTATGGTTTCATTCTTTTGAGGTACTTCATAGTGTTTAGGTGGCTACAGCAATTTACATTCCCACCAACAATGATTTTTGTGCTCCAATCAGCATGAATTTAGGTATCTCTGGATTGAGTTTTTACTGTCTACTGGTACATTTTCTCATGCACTTGTTATTCATTTGCATCACTTTGAAATATCTGTTCTGACCCTTTGCCCTCTTTGTTTAGCCAAAGCTGACATTATGATCCTACTTCCTTAGCCCAGCATACCTGGCCTTTGCCCACTTTTAAAGTTGGGTTATTTGTTTTCTTGCTGTGAATTGTTTGAGCTTAAATATTTGGGATTTTAATCCCTTACCAGACTGCGTCTGTGTAAATATTTTCTCCCGTCTGTGTGCTGTGCTCACTTTGTTGTGTAACTCTTTAGTTTGATTTGATCCCACTTGTTTTTTGCTTTGTATCCTATAAAAGAAAAAAGAAAAAAAAATTTCTACTCCACTGTCATGTTTTCCCATTTCTTTCTAGTGTAATAGTTTCAGATCTTATGTTTGCCTTTAATCCATCCTTGTATACAGTAGAAGGATCCAATTTTATCCTCTATAAATACACATATCTAGTTTTCTTAGCATCATTTATTGAAGAGATATCCTTTCCTTGTTGTGTATCCTGGTTCATTGGTCATTGTGTTACAGGAGCTTAGTGAATCCCCAGGTCCAGACCTCCAGCTGTGTCTGGGTGGGGCACGTGTATCCAGATGCTCTCTTCCAGATGTGTAGAGCCAGACACTGACATCAGCTTCTTCCCCTGTTGCTACCCATCTTACTTTTTTAAAGAGTCTCATCAAATAGGACCTGGAGCTCACTGAGTGACTGGCCTGGCTGTCTTTACCTCTGCTAGCACTGTTATCCTGCTTTACATAGGTATTAATATCACATTGAGCCATCTTTCCAGTACTCCCTCCTTTAAAAGCTTTAAATAAAAGCTTAACGGCATTAGAATTTAAAATACCCCTCCACCCAGGACAGGCAACTTGTGATTCTCAGGTCGTTTAGTCACAGTGCAGCTTAGCTGCCTCTGCTGGGAACAGGCCAGTTGTAGGAGACAACCCTGGCCACCATCTCTTCACATTGCACCAGCACAGGTTAAACTTTGTTCCTTTGTCGCCCTTTTTTGTCTGAGAAATTTTCATGCAGCCTCAGGCATATAAATTAGTATAGCAATCAAACATTTACTGATAATAAATCAAAGATCTTAAGGCATTGCTTTGATACACAGATATAAATTGAACATTGATTGAGATTAAAGCACATCTGCATGCAAATGAGACAGATGTGCTCACTTGTTTTCACATAAAGAATCAAATCTTGGCTGAATATATTAATACTGCAGGACAGAGCATCTCCAACATTTTTCAGAGTTGGTTTGATTTCATAGTCATCAATGCTGAAAACATTTTATATAGTGCAAAGTGACAAGTATATTTTGAATTATATCAAAAATCATTGAAAATTCTGTTGTAATTCCAAGCCGAAATTCATTTAATTTTTTTTATATGAAACTCAAGTCAACAAATTACAGTACAGTCCAAAGGGTAACTAACTAGTTTAATAACATGCTGAGGAGTTAACTGTAGGGAAACGCTGAAATTGTTTTCTATAATTAATCACGGTTTCTGTAAGATCAGAAAACATTAGCTCATACAGTGAGTGGTATCAATCTAAACAGCTGTTTGGGACACCTTTTGATGGTGTAGCAGGCATGATGTCACACAGTGTACATGTGTGTTTTGAACCAAGGCTGCAGTGATATAACATGTGACTATTAACAGAAACATGTCTAAACTATTACGTATTTGATATTTGATCATTGCATATTCAGAAGTCTTATACCATTGTTGTGTTATGTGTGTTTACACACATGTGATACCACTTTTAAGAGACTGTTCTAGTCTACAGCTGCCCAGTTTGTGTTTGGGGGGGGGTTACTGTTAGACTTTTATTCCTAATTTAATGAATTTGTTTATATACTTTACACAAAGGCACACACACATCTGCAGGGATATATGTGAAATAGGATATAACAGACTCTGAAAGCTAGAAGGAAATAATAGAGATGGATCTATTGTCATTGTGGTACCAAGGTGGGCTTTGATCTGAGAGTCAGACAAAAAGGAAGGGACAGAAGTGGTTCCTGGTTTGTAGTCCTGGGGACTGGACTTGGGTCTTCATGGCCTGCTGGCTGTGCTGTGCCCACTGAGCTCCACTTGGCCGCTGCCCTTTGAGGAAGAAAGCAATAGTTAAGTGTTGGTAGCTGGTCTGCTAAAACGGTGCATTTGCTTGGGGTGGGGGGGTGCACCCACACTACACTGAAGAGATAATACCATCATGAACTATTTCTGTTGCAAGTATAAAAAAGATTTTTATAGGATAGCATTTTCTAAAATTCTGGTTTTGGCAAAGAGATATTTGATTAAAAGATTTAATATTAAAGATGAAATCTTCTTTACAAAAAGGAAAACTGCAGTTTAAACTGAGAGTGTGAAGTCTCTTAGGCAGACCTACTTGTTAGCTTTCCCAGAGCATGGTTGTTCTCCAGCACCATACAGTGGTAGGCTGGCCTTCATACCAGTTCCTTGCTAGGTTGAATCCATATCTTCTGTGTTGGCGGGATTCTGTGGCCTAGTAGAGAGAAGAAACTGAATTAAACTAATTTAAGGGCATACTTCTCTTTAATATACTACATTCATTGTATACATTGAGAATGAGTTCCCTTAGATTTACTTGGTTGTAGACCCTTCTTCAATAGCCATCTATTCCACAGAGTATAAATTAGGGAACAGAGGGTTGGATATTTGTAAGGCCTGCAAGCCTTCCTTCAAAGGAAAAGAGAAGGCTGCTTCCTTTTGATGTGTCAAGCCCAACCGTAAGTGTGTAAACATGGAATGTGTTGCTCTCCCTTCTGTCCACCTCCACGCTGGGGTCTCTGCCATGTTACTGCTTCATAAAGGAGCTCAAGTACTAAGTAGTTCCCCCACCTACTCTGCTTCTCCCAGATGACACCAAAACCAGGACAGCTGAAACCTTTACTTGGCTTTTTTTGTTGTTAGACTAGAATGACCCTGTAACTGTAGCTAATTTGATGAATTTGGAACTAGGTCAGGGCTTTTCTACCTGGCTTCCATTCCACTATAATTGTAAGGAGGCCAGTGTCTTTGGAGTATAGTTATTTAAAATTATAAGCAAGCAGTAAACCTTGAAGAGTTACTTCTGATTTGATTAGTTTTCATTTACCTAGGAATCCCAAAAATTCTAAAATACAAAAAAAGCAAGTCATAACAATTTAAAAAATAAGCTTAAGCAGTGTTGCATTTGTAAAAATATTAAAAATTATTTTGAGAGGCAGCCTATATAGTCTTTGCTGACCTTGAACTTGTCTTCTTCTGCCTCAGCCTCCCAAGAGTTAGGCTCACAGCTATGCACCACCATGGCTGGCGTTCATGTTTTTAGAATACTCTAGAACCATAGCCAGCATTTGTTGGATGAGCGGTTTTTCATCGCAGTGCATCTAAACTTGTTGGTTTTCTTTCCCGTAAGCTCCTCTATGCATTCCCTTATGTTAACACCGACAGTGGACATGTAATTCTTAGTGTCTCCAAAGTGCTGGACTGTCCTGTTGAAATGTAGTTTCACAGCTATCTTTAGTTTAGATGTCAGTCTTAAAGGTGTATTGACATTATTTCTTTGGGACATATTATTGTGGATGGGACTATAACATGGGAGATGTTTCCAAGCTCTTGTGGGACAGATTTGCTAACTTACTGCCTTCTAATGTCTAGGTCCAGGAGCTCCACGAGGAGGAGGCACAGTGGGTTAACTATGATGAGGATGAGTTGTGTGTGAAGATGCAGCTGGCTGATGGGATCTTTGAGACCTTGATCAAAGATACTATTGATGTTCTCAATCAGATCAGTGAAAAACAGGGGAGAATGCTACTTGTGTGACATCTTGCAAATAAATCGAACACTGAGTGCTAACACGAGTCCTGGGCCTTTCTGCCTCCCGATATACACCCGTCTCCACCATAGCAAGAATGCTTCTGGACCTCGCACCTGTTGTTGTGGACTGCTGGTTTGGAGTTCATGGGACAATGTGGTATATCTGGTATTACAGCCTTTGCCTTTACAGACTGCCCACAGGAGTGCGTGATTCTTTCCTGTGGGCAGGGTTACACTCCTGATGTTGAGATTTGGTGTCATCATTCACCTCCTTAGCACCCTACTAGGGCTCAGATGAGGGCCGAGAACACCAGACTTACCTCTGAGGTTAGACAAGGCCATCACTTCCTTGAGTCTTATCAGGAAAGAGAGGTAAATAAGTTAATCTTTTAACTTTCAAAATATAATACTGGTCTGTATAAAGAAAGTCATAAATGGACATTGTAGTCTGTGAACAGTATTAAACCCATAACCACTTCTAAAATAGGCAAATTCAAGATTCTCTGCCTATTCACATTCTGGAGTTTATTATTTCCTGAAGACACGTTCCTTCCATCCTGAGGCTGAGCAGCACCACGTGGACATCAGAAATAAGCGGTGCTTTGCTGTCTGGGCACCACCTAAACAACTCTAACCCATTGCATTGTGTTTAATTTTCCTGTCTGGGCGAAAAACAAATGCCCCACTGAAGACGAGGCTCCAGGACTGCCATGGGCTGGTTCCTCTGCCTGCCCCTCCCTACTCTTTCCTCACTTGCCCTAACCTCTACCAGCTGCTCTCAGAATCGTGGATCCTCAGGACCATCTCAGGCGTGCAGGCCTGGCGAAAGTGGGGAGAGTTCATTTTGGCCTTCAAACTTTGAATTCCCACCTCTCCCCAGAAGTCAGATGCTGTTACTTGAATGATTTAGGAAATGAGTGTGTGCACCAAAGACAAGAAGATATTGTCTATAGTCTGCGTGCTTGTTTTGCTCTGTAGAACATTTTTTAATTTATTTTAAGATAAATTATTAAGTTGAAGATGTGTGTCCCTATTGAGAAGTGAAATTCTCATAATAGCAAACCTCTGTCTCGAAGTTTCTAGAGTTTAGTCTTCGCACAGGAAAGAAAGCTGCAGTTATAATAAATGTGTACACACACTGAGGAATCAGTTGAGTTCATCAGAACGATGACAGGCATTTACAGCATCGCCTGTGACAGCAGGAGCAGGAGGGGGACCTGAAAGTTTACTCCTGCCTCCCTTGCATCTCACAGTTGTACCTGAGAAAAGTCTCCAGACTCCAGCTGCTGCATCCGAGCACTCGGTGCTCACCGGGCCCTGAGCACTTGCCTTCCAGACTGGTTTCTCCATCAGTCCTGTCCTTCAAGTAATCCCGGAGAATGTGGATGATCTTAGGCGTGAATGGAAATGCCTTAACCTTACAGTTCGGACTAGAGCAGCATGGTCAGACATCCACCAGGTTCACACTTACAGATACCCTGGACTTTACGGCTTCTTCAAAAGACATTAGAAAACCCAAAGACAGCGTAACCCTTAAGTGTGCACGTTTGTTGTTTTCTGCATCTCTCTTCCAGACTTGCCTTTGCATCTCAGATATTTCACTATGCACACGTCATTTCTCTTCAGTTTCATTCTGTCATTACATGAGATTTGCTGAAATCATCATTGGGATATTTGCATTTTGCACAGTGACTGGTGTGCTAGCTCTTGACAACAGGAAAGCACTGAAATGTTACAGCTGGGTCTCCTGAATGCTCAGGTGGGTGTCTCATCAGCATCTCCTCTGTGCATTTGCTGTTGAGCTGTCGTCTTTAGCCATAACGAGCAACTTGACTAAGAGAAGCAAAGGTTTCTTGGGGCTATTTACCAGTAGTGTGGAAATAGTGTTTTCATGTGGCCAAGGAAAGCAAAGAGATTTCTCTTCAGTTTATGTTCTTTGGAAGACAGGAAACATCTTGTGTACATCCCTTAACTGTTTGTAGGATCACATTGTCTTTATGATACTGAACTTTACAGCTGCTATACTTTTTTTACAAATGAAGATCAAATTATAATAGGAATATAGGTTGTTTTCCACTCTTCATTATTTGGACCTAAAGTTAATTTTTAATAAGGTGTATCTTTACTCTTTACATTAAAATGCCAGAAAAGGAAAAACATACTGAAATAAGTCCATGGACTCAGCAATCTGGACACTGCTGGACCGTGGCAGTGACCATCCTAACCTCCTCCAGCTGTCTTCACTATCCCAGAATCCCGCGTTCCAGAAAAGATAGGAATAGGCCAGTCTCATCCTTTGCTAGCAATCATATCTATAGTTTGATAGCAAAAATCAAAAGAATCTAGGGTTTCTTACTGTTTTAACTATTTGGATCTAACTGAGATGGTTTGTTGATAGGATCAGGAATGATAAATGTGGATACCCAGCCACTCCATACTGGGATCTTTTTAATGAAGCCCTGCCTCCTAACCAAGAACCTACTCTTCCCTCTTCTAATCTTCGCTCCCTCTCCCACACCTGTCCCTTCTTCTCTCTGCCTAACTCCTCTCGAAGATCTTTGCATCAGCAGTAACACTGTTTAAAATAGCACTGTCAGAACCTAGTAGTAAACCACCATGCAGGCTTCAGATTTACTTCTGAGTCCAAAACAATTTGTGCTACCCAGGGCAGTTACCTCTGGGTTAAACAAGTACAGGGTATCAATCCCCTCTTCAGGTCTAAACAGGAATTTTTCTCTAGGGAAAAGTGGGAAGAGCTCAAAAAGTAGTTAATAAGGAAGGGGAATTCCTTCTGTGACTACAGGTCTCTGAGAAATTACCTTTCAAAAGAGATTGCATTGCTCATAAGAGTGTTGTGGCCTATTGATAAAAACAATTTTGTTCACTTTCTTGTCTTGAAAAAAAGTGGCCTTAGCTTTTTGCAATACTTGAATAAAGTGTGTACTTGCAAAAGAATTTCTGTAGCACAGCATTAGAGACTCATAACTTTTCTGCAAGAAATTCAAACTTACATCTTCCTTTTACTACCTTAAGAATACTAGTGAATAAAACATAATTCAAAGAGCAAGTGATAGAAACTACAATGATGTTTAATGCAAATTGTAGGAATTTACATGTTTACAAATCATCTTAAACTGGTTGTGCAGCAATTCAATAAAATCTTTGTATTATAAAAATGTGAAGAAAAATGTAAACTGGTGTAAAGGAGGTACTATCATTTTAATTAACCTATGTTTAAAAGCTTTTCCTTCTGGACTTTGCAAAGCCTTCTTGGTTACACATTGCAAAGCATTCTCTAGGGGGCTCAGCCTCCTTGTGTGTACTGTGCTGTGCAGACATGGAAAAGAAACCCGTTTACTGTGTGTGTAAATAGCCTGGTCATCAGGCCATTTCAGCCAATAGTCACACCCGTGCAGTCTGCACAGAAGACTGAGGGTGTGGTTTGTAAGTAATCTGTACAATAACTGGGATGGATTCCCATGTATAGCTGTGTAAATAGATTTGTTAACTAAAATGTACTTTAAGATGAAATCTGTAAATAAATTGATTTATAAATTAATTTCATGTCAGGTCTGAGTTTGTCCATTCATGAGCCAAATTTAGAAAAGGAGTTCTCATGAAATTGACTTGTTTCTGATTTCTTGTTTTGTTCCAGGATACTTGTTCATAGAGTACGGGGAGCTGTTTATAAAAGCTGTTGATGCTCTGCCCAGGAGACCAGCACAGGAAGCTAAGCACCTGGCTCTAGCTGCTTGTTAGTTCCTCGGGTCATCACTAAGCACCACTGTGTTCTTACCATTGTGAGACCAATGGGGAGCTGAGCTTAAAGTCTAGTGAACAAGATCATCAAAAAAATACTTTCTGGCCAGGCGGTGGTGGCACACGCTTTTAATCCCAGCACTCGGAAGGCAGAAGCAGGCCAGACTAGAGCTAGTTCCAGGACAGACTCCAAGCTACAGAGAAACCTTGTCAAAAGCTTTCTGAAAACCAGTACATGTCAAACTGCCAAGGAGCTCAGGGAGGAATGTGTTAAAATGGTAGGGCTGGGTCAGGAGAGAGTTAGTTCCCTGATAAATCTTAACTGGATTTTGTTTTTTGACATGAGATCTCACTATGTAATCCAAGCTGGCCTCAAACTTTGAACATGTTCAGCCCTCTTACTTCAGCTTCCTCTGTAGATAGGATTCAAGCATGACACCGTATCTGGCTTATATGTTTGTCTTGAACATTGATGGGCTTCCTTCAATTCACGGTAAATGCCATTTCTCCCAGATGATTTGAGTCTTGCTCAACCCTGAAAAATAACACATAAAGCCACACATAATTAAGTGGGCCACAAAAATGACTGGGTGTGGAAGGTGTAATTTATTTCTGGAAATAAGAGCTTGGTGTAGAATGGAGCTGGGTATGCAGAAGAATCAACTCCGATGATGGAAGTATGTGGCCCTCATTACCCACCATCCTCACTACATTCCACTTCCTCCTGATGGCAAAGTCTGCTCTGCTTTCAGCCCCTTGCCTCATTAAGGACTTCAGAAAACCACTGACCCCAAATGGCAACAGACTAAGATATTGTTGAACTCATTAAAAATAACCACACACTCACACTGTGTGCCAGATAATGTGACTGGTGCTAAGGACATGCTTGGGGGCAGGGAGAGACTGGATTGCTGTAATCTTGAATCAAAACATGAGATGAGAGGATGGCAACATAGCAGAGCCAAAAATGGTGAGAGCTCACAGACAGGAACTCCAGAGATCAGCGCGAGTGCTTGTGGCTCAAAACAGTGGACAAGGCCCAGAGATTGCGTCTCTCACAGGTGCCTGGGCTCTGTGGCCAAGATCAGCAGGCAGATAAAGTACCTGCCAGTGCCTGATTCAAAGTCACCCAAAATAAACAAGACACACCAGGCGTGAGTGTGACACTTGTTTTCTTACAGCCCCTGCAATTTCTCAGCCACGCCCACCCCATGGCCAGCAGACCTACAAATGCAGCCAGCATGGATGAGGTCAACTGCCAGCACCCTGCTCAGGCTGTCACGAAAGACTTTCTCTTCGTCCCTCCCCATTTGACGATGAAAGACAAAGATCTGGGGGTGTGCTGAGAGCCAGACACCAGAGCTACAGTGGGAGAGTCCCACGGCACAGGCTGGAGAAGCATTCAGGTGTTCTTACATGATCCCCACAGTAGGGATCTGATGTGACTACAGTCTAGCCCTCCCTCAAAGGCCACCACAACACACCACATCCAGCAGGACAAGTATCTCCAAATGTGGAGGGCAGCTTGGTCTAATAGGGCCTGCTTAGCCTCCCCTTTGGGTGCCCCTTGGAGACAGGGCCTCCCTCTGATTTTGAGATAACTTAGGATCACCAGGAAAACCAGATTAAGAAGAAACATTCACTCAACTAGAAATTTCATGTGTCTGGAATATGACTGGTTTTTGTGTTTTGTTTTTTAAGACTGTTTCTCTGTGTAGTCCTGGTTGTCCTGGAACTTGATCTGCAGACCAGGCTCACATCGATTAAAGGTATGTGTCACCACTTTCTGGAAGAATAAGTCCATTTTAATTGATGTTGAGGGACTACCAGATGTATAGCTGATAATCATCCTTTCTGAGCAGACATCTGTTCCAGCTGTTTCTTCCCTCCTCAAATTATGTGCACACCAGTGTCAACACACAAATGCCTCCCTGCGCTGCCAACAGACAACTGAGGGTGACTGTGCTGTCCTTCGGCACCCTGACTAGTTAGTTTGGGGAGTCCAGTTTGTCTTGGGAAATTCTAAGTCATTGTGTAGAGACAGAGCCCTTACAATGGGAGTGGGATGACAAATCCTCCCTTCGGCTGTGCTAGTTCCTGTCAAGGTATTGTCAGAACAGGTGAAATGTCCCCACACACACCCTCCATGAGCTTTCCAGGAGACACTCTTGTCTGCAACTTCCATAGGGACCCACTGCCCCTGCTCCTTGAGCCAAACCTTTTCATCCCAACCAGACAAATGGTGGCAGGAAGTCACAGCTTGACTGAACTTGACATGTCCAGTGACTTTTGTCCCAAGAGTGATGTTTAATGTTCAGATGGCTTTGGTTAGGCAGGATTTTCAATGCCTGTATAGTTATTTGGTCCTCACACTTTTGATCTCATCCCACTGTTATCTGGGACAAACTGCAGAAGATTCATTTCATGTGATGACCCTGTCTCTGTGCTATTGCTTGGACCATGGCTGTGGTGTCGTGCTCAGACAGGAGTCTTTTTTGCTATCTAAGCATATGACTAAAGTGTTTTTGAAGCCACAGTGGAATCTCTGCGTCTGCATGAGAAAGGTAGCCTTACATTTGCAGATGTGTCTGCTGTGTGAGGCACCTCTGTAGTCTGTGCCCAGCAGCCCCATGTAACTGTCACATGGAGTTTCACATGGAAAAGTGGCCATGACCTGCTTGATACAGCCTAAGTAAGTAGCCCTACAGTATGGCCAGGGCTTGCTGGCAATAGTTGTGTTGTATCTAGGATTTCCTTGGGTTATAGGGGAGGGGAATCAGTTGTTATGGTTTGGCTCTAGGATTTCCTTGGGTTATAGGGGAGGGGAATCAGTTGTTATGATTTGGCTCATTTTACATAAAGGTGAACTTTTTGTTCTGTGGTGGGCCAGTCACAGCAATTTACCGAGTACAAGTTAGATTAGCTTTTCAGTTCCATTTCTTTTAAAATTAAGCTTTAAACCCACCTTTGTTAAGCTTTATAATACCTGTGTGGAGGTTGGGAGTACATGTGCTCAGTATGATCAAGTGTATGCAGATCCTTTGAAGGCCAGAAGAGGGTGTCAGAGGCCCTGAAGCTAGAGTCACTGGTAATTTAAGCCACCACATCACCGCCATTGCCACCCCATCCGGATACTGGGAATCAACTCCTGTCCTCTGCAAGAGCAGCGAGCACCCTTTACTGCAGCGCCATCCTTCACTCCTTCAGTTCCACTTTTCTTCTTTGTTTATTTGTTTGTTTTTCAAGACATGGCTTCTCTTTGGCTGTCCTGGTACTTGCTGTGTAGACCAGGCTTACAGAGATCCACCTGCCTCTGTCTCCTGAGTGCTGGGATTAAAGGTGTGTGCCACCACCACTGCCTGGCTAGTTCTACTTTTAAAAAAAATTTCATTTTTGTTGTGTGAGTGTATGGTGTAAGAAAGGGGCACACATGTCACAGCGTGCATTTGTGTGAGTGTATGATGTAAGAGGGGCACACATGTTACAGCGTGCATTTGTGTGTGTGGTGTGGGGAAGGGGCACACATGTCACAGCGTGCATTTGTGTCAGTGTGTAGTGTAGGAAATGGACACGATACAGCATGCATTTGTGTGTGGTGTGAGAAAGGGGCACACACGTTACAGCGTGCATTTGGCGCTCAGAGAATAACTGATTTTTCGAATCAGTTCTCACCGTCCAGCTTTTCTTTAGCTCCATGAATAGAAGTCAGCTCCTCCAGACTTGACAGCAAACACCTTTATTATCCTCTAAGTCATCTCATCTTTCTAAGGGCTCTTCATTAGAGGCAATAATAAGAGTGATAAATGATGTTTGCCAAGGAAGAGACCAATTCACGATTTGAAGTCGTCCAGGGTAAGACAACACACAGGAGACAGGGTGGGGTGGGGGTAGAGAGGGGCGGCACTCTTAAAGTAGCATAGCATTTATTTACAGCCAGAGAAGAGACCCTGCACTAGATAGAGTTCCTTGAAATGCCTTGATCCTCCATGGCCAAAAGATTGCATTTTGGAGCTAGTCCGAGCAATTGGCTGCAGTGGAAGACTCTCAGCTTGGCCCTGCTCCAGCAGAAAGCTGGAGGCATGCTTGGAGCCACTGACATGAGTACAAGCAGAACAAAAAGTTCTGCTGACCTACAGCAGTGGGAGATAAACCCTCGTGCGATTAGGTCAGTACCGGCTGTAGGACCTTTCACAGGAATTTTATCTAATGTTCCCCAGCATGAGCAGGAAGCCGAACATGACTGCCTTCCCCCACAAGAATGAATGTAGAGAAACAGAGGAAGTTAGGGAGCAGTTTGGGGAATCATAAGCTTTGTCTACTTGCAACCTCTTTTTGATTTTATAAGTGAAATTCAAGTCAGCAACTCAAATAGCAATTAAAATTGTTTTATTATTATTTTATGTGGATGGATATTTTGCCTGCATGTATTTCTGTCTACCGCATGCATGCCTGGAGCACAAAGAGGCCAAGAGGAGGGATCAGATCCCCAGGAACTGGAGTTAACAAAGGGCTGTGAGCTGCCACATGGTTGTCTGGAAGAGCAGCCAGTGTTCTTAACCACTGAGCCATCTCTCCAGTCTCTCAAATAGCAACTGTTTAAACCAAGGCTTCTAATACAATCCAAATAAGTATGAACTCAATACTTAGACACTGAAGGGCAATAACAGAAAACTATTAGAAGTCTTTTCTTCTATAATTTGTCTTGCTTAAAGACAAAACCGGGACACTGAGAATCTCCCCGTGAACTTGGAGAATAAAAAAATGTGTAAGGATAGAGATTCAGGGATTGGGCCCTAGAAAGAGTAGGAAAACTGTTTTTATATGAGCAGAAGTTTTGGGCTGAGAAAGAAATCAGAGAAACATCACCCTTCACAATAGCCACAAATAACATAAAATATCTTGGAGTAACTAACCAAACAAGTGAAAGACTCGTATAACAAGAACTTTAAATCTTTGAAGAAAGAAATTGAAGAAGACACCAGCAAATGGAAAGATCTCCCATGCTCTTGGGTAGGTAGAATTAACATAGTAAAAATGGCAATCTTACCAAAAGCAATCTACAATGCAATGCCCATCAGAATCCCAGCAAAATTCTTCACAGACCTTGAAAGAACGGTATTCAACTTTATATGGAAAAGCAAAAAAGCCAGAATAGCCCAAACAACCCTGTACAATAAAGGAACTTCTGGAGGCATCACAATCCCTACTACAGAGCTACAGTACTGAAAACAGCCTGGTATTGGCATAAAAACAGACAGGAGGACCAATGGAACTGAATAGAAGACCCAGATAGCAATCCACACACCTACAAACACCTGATTTTTGAAAAAGTAAAAAATACAAAATAAAAAAAGAAAGCATATTCAACAAATGGTGCTGGCATAACTGGATATCAACATCTAGAAGAATGAAAATAGATTCATATCTATCACCATGCACAAAACTCAAGTACAAATGAATCAGACCTCTACATAAAACCAACCACACTGAACCTCATAGAAGAGAAAGTGGGAAGTACACTTGAATACATTGGCA